AGGGGGCCCTACAGCGGCATCCCAGAATTTGGGTCCTCTCTCCCCTGCACCTAACCAGCAGGCGACATGTGTTCATGGCGAAAGATCCAGTTCCCACTTTTGTCTTTCGGCTCGGGCTCAGGGGTTCCAGTCCGGATGTCCGCCTATTGCGACCTACAACCCCTGACAATCGTGCATCCCGCAAGGTGGGCCAAGTGTAGCCATTCAGGCAACAATTCCAAATGCTCAAACCACCGCACACTTAATTGCCGAACGTGGAGGAGAGCTCCGTACATTTTTGCTACCAATCAAAACAAAGCTGTTTCTGCATTCACAGTTACACTGGCAACCGGACGGGCACCGAGTTCACACAACTCTTGAGGTAAGTCCACATCACATGAACGGATGGGCAAGAAACAGTGACAGAGCATGCGTGCGTCTCAACATGAGGGCGCCTAGACTGTCATCGTTTACACCGGGGAAGACGTACCGAGCTCTGAACCAGAACAACAAACAAAACAATTCGAGGTTTGTCTAGATGAGGGCCCGTTGTGATACCCTATATGGGCAGAAGAACCACGCCGTACCCGAAACAGACCCAGAATGTTGACCAACCCGCAACTAACCATCCCCTGCAAAAACACTCTCAGCGCGCAGCCAGTGGATTTGTCCCTGAGAGGCAGTTCGGTCTGGGTTTTGGGTTTAGGGTGTAGGGTTTAGGGTTTAGGGTTCAGGGTTCAGGGTTCGGGGTTTGGGGTTTGGGGTTTGGGGTTTGGGGTTTGGGGTTTGGGGTTTGGGGTTTGGGGTTTGGGGTTTGGGGTTTGGGGTTTGGGGTTTACGGTTTAGGGTTTAGGGTTTAGGGTTTAGGGTTTAGGGTTTAGGGTTTAGGGTTTAGGGTTTATTAACATCACTTCCATTTGATAAAAATAATTCAATCAAATCAAGTTTACTTGAATGATGCTTGTGTCTTATGTATAGTATGCCTCTTCAGTTGCTCAGACAACGGATGATATTACAATTCCAGAATCTCAATGTCACACGATATTATTTCTTTTCAAACAATTATCCAATTTAGTGAATAATAGAGATGAATTTGCATGAATCCTAAAAGGGTCTAGGGTCTAGGAAGCTTAGGGTTCGGGGCTCATAGCTTCGGAGCTTGAGGGTGTGAGGCTTCTTGCCCAGAGGCTTGCAGTTCCGGGTTGATGAGAGTGTCAAGTTACGGGTTGCGGCCCCAAGGCTCTAAACCCTGAACCCGAAACCCGAAACCCTAAACCCTAAACCCTAAACCCGAAACCCGAAACCCTAAACCCTAAACCCTAAACCCCAAAGGGTCTAAGGGTCGGAAAACCCCGAGGACACCGGGGTTGGGCCTCCACCGCTTGACGCCGAAGAAGCAACCGAGCACCACCAGCACGCCGAGGACCTGTTTAGGGTTTAGGGTTTAGGGTTTAGGGTTTAGGGTTTAGGGTTTAGGGTTTAGGGTTTAGGGTTTAGGGTTTAGGGTTAGGGTTTAGGGTTTAGGGTTTAGGGTTTAGGGCATCTGGAACCCAGGTGAACGTCTGCTGCCCACGCATTGAAGGCGCCCGCTTCGGGGATCTTCATGGATTTTGAAGTTCTGGGGCTGGAAAGGTCTTAGGCTTGCAAGCGAGGGAGGGGCTTGCAAGCACAAGCCTCTGCGTTGAAGAGTCTGGTGTGGTCTCCAGCTTAGTCTCACTGTCCCCAGGCCCTTCTTCTAGCCATCCAAACTGCACAAGCCCCAGGCACAAGAGCTGCCTGTGAAAGTAGCGAGGCGTTGAAGCACGAAGCCTACATGAAGGCCTCGGGATCTAACCCAGCTGGGCACTGGGTCCAAGCGGCGTCCAAGCGGCTACAACAAGAGGCCAGTACCCAGTGGATACTGGCCTCTTGTTGCAGCCGCCTTGGCCCTCTTGACCAAGTGTCCATCTGGGCTGGATCCCAAGGCCTTCATGTAGGCTTCGCGTTTCAAAGCCTTGCTCTCGTGCAGCGCTACTTGTTTGTCGGCGGGACCCCTCTCGGGACCTCCTGAAACCCCCCTCAAAACCCCTAAAAGTGGGACCCCCTGAAACCATCCTAGAACCTTTCTCCCCCCCTTTTTTTGAGAAACCCTGCCGGCCCTGCTGCCGAGGCGGCGCGCGCAAGCGTTTACAATTAGTCCTATTCAAACAGCACGCAAAGATTGTTATATACAGATGTGGCCACTTCACAAGGATTGTACTATATTTTTGGGTGTCCTAAACCCTGTTTTTCGGCATGAGCATCGCAAGAGAGCAAATGTGCATCAACGATCATCAACGCAGTGCTAGTGTGCCCTGCTTGTAGGGGCAGTGTAGCAGAAGGGCCTGAGGCTCCACGTAGTTTTGTTTCCCGTCATGGCTGAGCGCACCACGTGGCGGGATATGAAGGTCGAGCAGATGTCAAAACGGCAGTTCAAGAAGCATCAGCATCACTTGGCCAGGAAACGCTTTGAGGAACGAGCTAGGGGAACAAAGGGTTCAGCACAGAGGAGCCAGGAGGGCTGCTGAGAGCTTGTGCCTGTGGGACGTTGCCTCTTGGGATTTAGGGTTTAGGGTTTAGGGTTTAGTGTTCAGGGGTGATTCGAGACTTCTCAACCACCATAGGGCAGATTCGTCGGGGAGTTTAGCGGTTTAGGGGGGTTTTGGGGTTTAGCGGTTTAGGATTTAGGGTTTCGGGTTTAGGGCTTAGAGCTTAGGGTCTCGAAGCCCAGACCGCTTCGGGCCCGGCGGGCAGCATCAACCACGTGAGGCCACCGCCGCTTTTCTCGGCCTGTGAAGTGCTTGGGTAGTGAAGGAGAATTTCAGGAAAAGGGCCCTCAAACCCCAAAAACCCTCCGTAGCACCGAGCCGCTTGAGAATGAAGCCCGAAGCCGTGTCAGCCATTGATGGTTGATGCATGGGGGTTTCGGGATGGAGCGAGCTCTCCGGCATAAGCCCTCCTCCATGAAGTCTTTTATGTTTTTTCGTACTTCTCCTCTTCTTCTTCTTTTTATTCTTATTATTCTTCTTATTCTTCTTCTTCTTCTTCTGCTTCTTCTTCTTCTTCCTATTCTTATTCTTCTTCTTCTTCTTCTTCTTCTTCTTCTTCTTCTTCTTCTTCTTCTTCTTCTTCTTCTTCTTCTTCTTCTTCTTCTTCTTCTTCTTCTTCTTCTTCTTCTTCTTCTTCTTCTTCTTCTTCTTCTTCTTCTTCTTCTTCTTCTTCTTCTTCTTCTTCTTCTTCTTCTTCTTCTTCTTCTTCTTCTTCTTCTTCTTCTTCTTCTTCTGCTTCTTCTGCTGCTTCTTCTGCTGCTTCTTCTGCTGCTTCTTCTGCTGCTTCTTCTTCTTCTTCTGCTTCTTCTCCTCCTTCTCTCTCCCTCCACTCATGGCCCCCTCCCCGAAGGGAGGAAGGGAGGGAGGGAGAGAGAGAGAGAGAGAGAGAGAGAGAGAGAGAGAGAGAGCCACCCGAAAGGCTTCCTACTTGTCGCTCTCTCACACGCCTGCCTGGGTTTGGGCCGCCTCCTCTTTGCTGCCCTCGACAGCCTCAGGATCCACCAACCCCTCAAGTCTGACACCTGACTCCTGGCACCTAACACACCAAAACGGAGGCTGGGTACGGGCTTTTTCCAGCTGGTGAGGCGGCGGCAGGAGGTGCAGCAGCTGAAACAATCCTCGAGCAACGGAGAGTCTGACATGCATTTCCCCGGCAGAAACTCACCATCTTCACTTGCGCACTCATGGGCGCGCACTTCTTCACATCAGGTCTTGAAGCCTCATGCAACGCTCGGGCCCCGACACAGGAGGCGTTGCGTTGGCTCCACTCGAGTTGGAGGCCTTGTCTTCTCCTTCCTTCTCCTTGTCCTCGGATTCCTTGGTGCTGGTTTCAGGCACCGTCGTCGCTGCTGCGGTTGTGGCTGCAGCTGTGGTTGGTGCTGCAGTCGTGGCAGCTGCTGTGGTGGCAGCCGCCGTGGTAGCCGGCGTGGTTGTTGTGGGTTTCTTGTCGTCCTCATCCTCATCGTTTGGCATGGCCATGGTCAAGGGAACGTTGCCCTGCCCCATGGCCATGCCATTTCCCATGCCTGCAGACATCCCACCAGCTCCCGCGACAGGGCTCATGACCTGGCGAAGAGGAGTCCCCGCGCCCTCAACAAAGAAACAAAGGCTTCTCAAGTTGAGAACCGCACCGCAGGCATCTGCTTCTCTTGGAGCAAGCTGCTGTTGCTCGTGACCTCCCGGTGCACATGAGAGCTCAGGCTCGAAAGGTTCGGGAACTGAGCCAGAGATCATACTTGCTTGACAGACAGTTGACTCCAAACGCCTAAACCCTAAACCCTAAACCCTAAACCCTAAACCCCAAACCCTAAAACCTAAACCCCGAAACGGCTTGGCATTGAGGCCGTGGGTCAAGGTGGCTAAATGCGGCTAAGGTCAGGTCCTGCAGAAGCAGGGCCCAGCTCTCATCCACCTGGGCATCCTTGCGCATGAGCCTTGGATTCCTGCACTTGGGGGTATAGGGTTTAGGGTTTAGGGGTTAGGGGTTAGGGGTTAGGGGTTTAAAGCTTAAGGTTCAGGGTTTGGGGTTCGGGCTTTCAGACTGGGAGTGGAGGCTCAGGGTGGGGACCTACCGTAGCTTCCAAGGCTCGTGCTGCATCTGAAAGGGGGCGGGCGATGATGCTTTGGGGGTCAGAGTTTCCAGGCCGCATCAGGCCACTGATGGGTCATCGTTTGCACTAGAAGGCAGCTGCTACCGCAGCCGCTGCCTTGTTGCCCAAAAGCACAAGCCCTTTACTGCTGAAGCTACTTAGCTTCAGCTCCTGAGCTACTGGAGAATCCAAATGGGAAATGCTCAAGAACACCATATTGTTCATCTGGTCCTCTCCCATGAAGTGTGGGCAACCGTTTCAATGACTGAAATCGAGACGACGCCGGGAGCTAGCACGACCACTGACATCATCACATCCGTGGCTTAAGACAGCAAACTCAGCGGGCGGGCATTTTTGGTCGGTG